AGTTTGCAAGTTAAAATTTTAAGTGCAGGACCAATATGTTATAGAAAAAAAGAACTCAGTGTTCTATTGAAGAATGAGACTCCAGACACCTGTCCATTTGGTCTTTCTTCTAAGATCACAGTAACAGGTAAAACAACGTTGTTGGAATAATGTAGCCCTCAATTAGAATTGCTAATATCTGTTGCAGCAACGAAGTATAATTTTGTAGAAATTACTCTTTTTAAATGGTAGCTTTTTATTAAAACATTTTTGAAGAAATCTTTTTCCCCCAAGATGTAAATGTGAAAGCAGACTACTGCAATCTCACATAACCAACTCTTTCCTTAATGATTTAGGCCCTGGATAAAAACACTGTGTCAATTCTATCACTGAGCTGAATTCACAAAGGTGTTGTTATGACATGTTTATTTCTCTGTACTTCTCTTGTCTGTCAGCTGTCATTTCTCCTGCTGTCATTTTTACTGACCTAATATCTCCCTTAGCTAATGTCTTCCACTCAAAGCCCCTGAATCCTAACTTTTCTTCTAATATACTATGAGTTGAAACAATAGAAAAGAGAGTACATTTAGTGCTTTGTCATCACCACAAAGGAAACAAAAGTGAGAGTTGAGAAAGTCAGTGATTTTTTTCAGTAGCATACTGTAAGGTCATGAAAGTTATTTGAGATATTGGGATATATTTTCTAGTTTCCAGGTTCCTCGGTTTAGGGATTATTAAATGATTTTTTCTGCATAACTGAAGTGTACATATTCTCTATCAAAATGATCTTTGATATTGAGAATGACTGAACGTACTATAAATGATTTAAAACATTTAAATCACTTCAAAACAAAACTGGTGACAGATGTATATGAAGTACTAATGCATATTATGCACAAGTGGACTAATATGCACTATAGCTTGTAATGTTCCCTCAAAATGTAAATTAAAAGTGAAAGCACATGGAAAACACTGGAAGATACAATTGTAGACAAAACTTTCAAAATCAAACTTCAAAATGGGACTCAGCAATGGGACTGTTTCAAACTAAAAAGTTTCTGCACATAAAAAATAATTACAGAAATCACAAGATAACCTATAGAATGAGGGCAAATCTTTGCCAATTATTAAATGGATAAAGAATTAATATCCAAAATGTACAAATAAGAGCTTGGGTTTGTCTGCCACTGGGGCTATTCTGCTTCTGCCGGTAAGGTCATGTGTCCTCTATCAGGACCCCTGGAACCAGTATTCCATGAATCTGAGTTCTGACACACTAGGAGTTACATTTGGGCTCCTGAAAGCTTTCCAAGATGCCTTTTTCTTCATATCATACCAGGACATTATTTGGGAGTCAGAGGGGAGGGAAAAGTAGGAGAAAACAAGGATGGGAGTAATAATGTTTGACAAGAAATTTAGTCATTACCTTGCTTATGTAATTATAACCCCTCTGTATATCACTAGGACAATGAAATAAAATAAAATAAAATGGCTAATACAAAAAGGGGCTGAAGATGTGGCTCAGTTAGCAGAGAGTTGTCCTAGCAAGTGTTAAACCCTGACTTTAATCCCCCAGAGTGCCAATAATTAATTAACTGGTTAATTATTTAATTAATTAATTAAGTGGGTACTCAGGAAGGCATATTTTTTCTTAGAAAGAAAAGGCAAACTCTCTCTCTCTCTCCCTCTCTCTCTCTCTCTTTCTTTTGCTGGTTATGGGCCCTGAACTCTGGGCCTGCGCGCTGTCCCTCAGCTCTTCAGCTCAAGTATAGCCCTTTACCTACCACTAGAGCCACAGTGCCACTTCCAGCTTTTTCTGCTTATGTGGTGCTGAGGAATTCAACCCAGGGCCTCATGCATGCAAGGCAAGCACTCTACCACCTTCCCTGCCCCAACTCTTATTTTTGAAAGGGCAGCAATCTCACGATCTAGACACCCACACTTCCTAACGCCTATACTTAACTTTCTACACCTGTAGAAAAAATCCTGTCTGGGATTTTAACAGATTGCAGGTAAACTTTCAACTCATATTGAATGAAAGAATGAGATGTGTCCTCTGAAGTGCTAACCAAACTAGGTGATCAGTTAGAATGAGTAAAAGCAGTTAGGGATGGAGAAAAGGTCAGTGTGGGAAGCTCACAGGAACTCACACCTGACTTCTGGCATGTGTGACCCATTGTATTGAGTTTCCCTCCAGGAGTTAAGTGTAGGCTCCTGCTATTGAGTTTCCCTCCAGATCAGCAGATCCAGGTGACCTGAGTTTAAGTACAGAAGCACAGTAGTCTTGGTATAAGACAAACCTGAACTCTGTTTAGCAATTTACTTATAAAGCTGATGTAAGAATTTATGGGAATATTTTGTATAAAGAATATGGCATGGTTACTGCATATGTTGATGTGACTTTTATTATATTGTAATTATATGATACTCAATGTATCCATCAAAATGTTTCTACTGTATCATATTAGTAAAAGTTAATATTGTAAAATGTATTTTTTTACTTTCATTTAGCATCATTATTTAAAATTTTTATGTGGTAGAGTGTGACATGCTTACAAGATCTCAAACTCAAATGGGTGGATCCATCATCTCAAGTATTGATCATTTCTTTATGTTGGGAACATTCAAAATCTCTTTACTTACCATTTTAAATGTATAATGAATTGTTATTAACCATAGTTACTTTACTGTGATATAGAACCCTAGGAGTGATTGCTTCTATACAATTGCACTTTTCCACCCATTAGCCATTATCTTTCCATTTTCCTTCTTCCTACCAGTCTTATCATCCAATAAGCACTATTTTTTTTTTTTTTTTTGGTTGGTTGTAGGGCTTGAACTCTAGGCGTGGGTGTTGTCCCTCAGCTCTTCAGCTCAAGGCTAGTGCTCTACCACTTGAGCCACAGCACTACTTCCGGTTTTCTGGTGGTTTATTGGAGATAAGAGCTTCATGGACTTTCCTGCCCAGGCTGGCTTTGAACATCTCAGCCTCCTGAGTAGAGAGGATTCCAGGTTTGAGCCACCAGCGCCTGCTGTCAATAAGCACTGTTCTTATCTCTTCTCATAAGATTAATACTTAATAATCTGAGGACGTTGTACATACATTTCTTCCAAATGCTACAGATGAATGAAATAGTTAACTCTTCACAAAGATTCTTTACAAAGAAACTGAGAAGAATTTCTCTTACCATGTTTACTTTGGGAGGCAACCAAGGTATAGAAAGGTTGACTGAGTTCAAGAACAAAATGCAGTATTTGACCAACTTGTTGCCTCTACAACACCAGGCTTTCCTTTGTTTCTAATATTTTTATTTGAATTTTATTACCCTGTCACTAGAGTAAAATGTTTCCATTTAATTCAAGACTATTGAACTTGAAATCTTGAAGCCAAAACTTTAAATGTAAACCTTGTCATCTCACGAGGTAAGTAGACATTGAAAACCCTGTGTACAATCATTCTATAAATTCATAAAAGTAAGCTGGTGATGGAACTTCTTGATATTTTTAGACTTTAGCATCAGTGTGAGAGAATGAACAAAACAAAGCTCAAGATTTATAGGAAAGAGATGAAAAAATTTCCCACAAGTTTTACTTTCTAATCAGCTACTTTGAGTAGAGCCTAAGCTACCATAGACAGTGAAACTTCCTATAGTTTTGCTAATGGTAACAAGCAGCTATCCTCAGACTTCGTCTACCTCCAACAAGTATTCCAAATAGTCTGGAACACTTTACAAGCTTTTAAGTTTTTTTTTGTTGTTGTTGTTGTTTTGCGGTCCGGTCGTGGGGCCTGAACTCTGGGCCTTGGCGCTGTCCCTCAGCTCTTCAGCTCAAGGCTAGTGCTCTACCACTTGAGCCATAGCGCCACTTCTGGCTTTTTTCTTATGTGGTGCTGAGGAATCGAACCCAGGGCCTCATGCATGCGAGGCAAGAGCTCTACCACTGAGCCATCTTCCAGCCCCAAGTTTTTAGGTTTGTAAAGTCACTTTTATCATTTCTGAAATCCCTAAAAGTTATTTATTTATTATGTTTAGGGAATTCCTTAAGAGTAAGTGAGCAATTTATCTTGGTCTAGATGCCTGTCCTCAGATTCTTGCAAAGGATGGTTTTATTCATGATAATGAATATCAAGTTTGATTGTATTGCTTTTTTTTTGTAAAGTTATTCTAGTTTTTTTTAAATAGTATTGGCACTTGGCAGGAGCTCCACCGCTTGAGTCATGCTTCTAGCCTCTTTTGTTTACATTATCAGACTGGGTCTTGTGCAGTTTGCCTGATGACAGACATGTGCTACTGCACATGCCTGTTGGTTGCTGCCACTTTTCCATTATTTTAGAGTCCAGGGATGAGTTCCTTTGAGATTTCAACTGAATTGTGCATCTCACTGACAAGGAAATAGCAAAAAGTTATGGAGGTGTATTAAATGATTTTCTACCTAAATGTGACTTTACCCTTGTTCTTAGCTCATCAGTGTAAGCCACGATCAGAATGTCTCGTTTATAAGCAGAGAGCACATCAATGCCTTAGTTCCTACACTAGGACAACTGTTTCTCCCCTGAGGATACCATTGGTCCATTGTGGCACTAGGCTGGCAACAGGTCAGACCTGTGCTGGGCATCCCATGGGCAGGGGCAAGGGTGTGAACTTGGCTCAGCTGACGCCTCCAGTGGATTCCTGCAACTGGTTTTACCTGATCTTGTTGGACTGAAATAAACAAAGAACTGAAAAATAAGACAGAGGAGAATCTAGGGTCAAGGCTTCCAATGCATACATTCGCATGACAAATGTAGATGCTGTATTACTTATTATTATTATATTTTTCTTTGGCCACCCTGAAAGTTTCTGCTTTTCAGGGCTATTCCTTACAGCTTCCTCATGGATCTGGGGAGGTGGGGGGGAGGTTGGATTGGAACAGGAGTTGGGAGAACTTTCTGACATCTGATCAGCCAGGAACCAGGTCCTTTGGCCCTCTTTTTCCAGCTCCAGGCCAGCTCCTTGCATGAAGCTTTGGCCTCCTGACCCCAGACAGTCTGGGTCGCGCCGCCCCCCAGCCGCGCGGCCGCCTGCCAAGAGTTCGAGACCTCCCCATCCGGATGTGATGAAAAGGAGGAACAGAGGGAGAAGTGTGTGAGCCTGGCCGGAGTGGTGGAAGGGGGAAGGAGAGGCAGAGGCGGGGAGGGTGGCCTAGGGTCGTCCCCGTCCCCGGGAGCCCGGCAGGCCCGAGCCAGCGGGCTTGAAAGAGGGGGCGGAGCGCGCGCAGGCAGAGCCACCGCCGCGGTTGCCGCCACCGCGACGACGTCTGGGCTGAGCCCCGGGGGAGGCGGGAGGGACGCGCCGGGGCGGCCGCCGCTGTCGTCAGGCGCCCGGAGCGCGCGCGATGCGGCCCTGGCCCGAGCCTCGCTAACTTTCTGGGGGCAGAAGAGGAGGAGGCCCCGAGGGGGCTTGGCGCGCCCTCGCGGGAGGAAGGGATGCCGAGGTAAGTGGTGATTCCCCCCCCACACCCCTCCCCCCAACCCTGTCTCTCCTCTTACCCCGTCCCACTGGGGACTCCTCCCGCCCACCCTCTCCGGGAACTTGTCATTGTCAACTCGCAACTCCTCTCAGTTTTCCTGGCTGGTTTCAAATCAAAACTTCCCCGGGGTGGAGTTTGCGGGAGGGAAGCGGAGGGGAGGAAGTGTCCGCGGGGTGGGGTGGGGGTGTGTGGCGCGCTCCCGTCCAAAGAACCCCACCGTTTTTATTTCATGTTTCCTCTCTTCCCTCCCCCTCGCCCCCCTTCTCTCCCCCCCCCCCCGTTAGAAGCAGCGAGTTCCCAGCACCCGAGACCTAGGAGGCCGTCCTCGTGTGCGCCCCGCGGGGCGGCGAGCGGGCTGCGGGGCGGCGCGGGCTCGGCGGAGCGGCCCATGTCCGGCGCGGGCGAAGCCCTCGCTGCCCCGGCCGGGGCGGGCGGCGGCCGGCTGGGTTCCCCGGCCCCGGGTGAGTTGCGCGGCTTGGCACTTGGCAAGCTACTTCCATAAGTGGCCAAATTTGCTCCCCACGGTACTGTTTGCTGGCGGGGGTGGTGGTTTTGGGTTGGGGGGGCCGGGGTCACGCATGCATTCTCGATCCTGAAGTTGAGAACTTTCTGCACACTGGGGCGATCTACTCCAGTAAGTTTGCCCAGGATTCCTGCCCCAGATCAACAACCGGATAGGAGGGCGGGCTCGGCGGGTCCCGGCACCTTCCCCTTCCTTTGCTTCTGGAGGAACAGGAGGGCCAGGAGGCTGCTGCTTCCTGGAGCATGTGCCTTTCTGACTTGAGAGGTGTGGATCTGGGATGCCTGGGTTTCTGTGTGGTCCGCGGATACAGGACTGGGGCGATGTCTGAGCAGGGAGGAGGAGCACTCTCCTTTTCCTCTTTCCTGTGGTTGTTTGTGGGAGTTCTGTGATTCCACCCCCCCCCCCCCCCCCGCATAAACTAGGTTCTGAGACCAGTAACTTCGGGATGGCTCGTGTATTGTGTTTTCAATAACCGATTGGAAATCAGGTGTGGTCCAAGAAACGCGTTCCAACAACGAATTCGCTTTGCATTATTCCCAAAGAATGCTCTTGTTTCTGGGAAAACTTTGTCTAACCAGCTTTTGAAGTGTCCGTTTGCTCTTGAAGGTGATGTATTTCAGGCTTTCATTGGTGACAGAGCAAGGCACTTACCACCTGTCATTTCTTCTTGGGACGGTGGGACAGTGGCTCTGATGTAGAGAGTTCTGAGAGGCCTCAAATAATTTTGCTGGGCTTAAGATGCTACTGTATACTCTTGATTTTTATGCATATCTGATAACTATTCTCCATAATAATGTAATGAGCTTCTTGGGGGGTTTCTCTCTCTCTCTCTCTCTTTCTCTATTTAAGCAGGAAAAAAGGAAAAGAAGTTAATGTTCAAGTCACAGTAGATAAAAGCAAAAACATCCATGGTTAAATTAAAATGTTCTGGCATCCTGGGCTGTTAAATTGAATTACGTTTATCATTTCGCTTGGAAAGAGTGACTCATTTTTTTTTCTCTAAACAGAGAAAATAAAAATGATTAGTTGCAGAAAAGCTGAGAACTGGAATGATAAACATATGTTTTCCCAGAAGCGGCCCATGTTCTACACATTGTATTGTCAACACAATCATTTGCTTGTCATTAGGCATGCCGACAGCAGACAGCAACACATCCATGCGCTGTTTATGTTCCCACTTGAGCTGTTAATCACTGTTGTTGGGTTGACAATGCTTATGTCAAATATCAACATCCAATACCCAAGGAAAACATGGTGATTTGGAAAAAGTTAATATGTGCAATCTCTGACTTTAACAGTGTATTCACTTTTAAAATCAACAGGAAGAATTTGCAGTGGTATTACACCTGTATAATGAAGAACTGCCTGGCATCACCTGATCTAACATTAAGATGCAGGTATTGAAAGGACCTGAAGTAGAACATTTGTTGTACACCACACACACACACACACACACACACACACACACACACACACACACACACACATCTTAAATGTAGCCATGATTGGAATGCATCACACCTAAATATTAGCTCCATTGCTTTTAAAAAAATACTTATTAGTTTAACTGGATTTAAACTTTTTTATCTAAAGAGAGCTGGCTTAAATTCTAGATGGATTCTACATGGATATATATATATATATATATATATATATATATATATAAATTCTACATGGATAATTTTTTAAAAAAGAAAATCCCTAGTATCTTGTTAACATATTGTTCTTCAAATGAGTAGATTTCATGAAATGTATTTAAGGAAAAAAAATTAGAGTAAACAGACAAGGAAATAACTTCAAGGTGCAGGTTCCCAGCATTGTTTTGGTTTTATTGGTAAAGACATTTTTGAAGAAGCTGTTTTTGAAAGCTATCTACTTTTAAATCCTTCCTCAAGTTATTTTATGCTCTAGTTCTATTCTTGGTTTCTCTCCTTTCTAAAGGACAAAAATATTTGGAAGGCAGAGATCAAGAAGTTACAACCAAGGCCAGCCCAGGCAAGACAAGCAAAGCATGGTGGTGTGCATCATTGTCTCAACTACACAAGGGGCATAAGTAGGAGGATTGCAGACTGAGGTTGACTCAGGCAAAGCACTACACCCTTTCTTAAAACAAAAAAAGTGCTAGAGGCATGGCTCAAGTGGTGGAGTGCCTGCCTACGAAGCTCTATTCCCTGAGTTTAAACTCTATACATTAAAAGCCAGTGAGAAAACCTAATGTTTATGTAAGTTAACAGAAAATACCATTTCATGAAAAACAAGGATAGGAACAAGTCTTCCCTTGTAAAATCAAATGTATGTGTACACTATGTACATAGAGGAATATAACCTGCACATATACTAATACATTGCAATGAAATATCTTCTATATTTTATTCAAGGTGTACTTTTTTAAAAATTAGAAGTAACTTTAGCAATCCTCCGCAGTTTGAACTCACTATCAAACATCAGATTCTACTTCATAGGCTTTTAGGTAGCATTTGGAAGCCTATAAGGTAGCCCATTCTAATTTTCAGCATTAAGTGTTAGTAAGCCTTTTCTCTATTAAGAGCATAGCTCTGTTTCTTATAAACTTCCACCTTTCTGATGTGACTCTACAAGTTTTACTCTTGCTTTGAAAACATTACAGAGCTTTAGACGTTTATCCTGTGTATTTTGAAAATTGTTCCAGTGCAGGGACAGAGCTAACATGTTCCAGGCTATAAGAGTGAATGGGTGCAGGGTTAGACAATAAGAACCATGAGATTTCAGGGACCTGGAGAGCTCATTGGCCATGAGGTTGTGCTAATTTCTACCTAATTAGTGGCATGTGGATAAATACCTTCTGATATTTCAGGAGCTACTGGAAATCTAGAAGTTGGATGTGTCATCTCCATTTTTAAAAGTTGGCAAGTAATTACATACCTTATTTCTCCAAGCCAAACAAAACAACCACACCTTGTAGGCTGGATCTGGTTGTCAGCAGCTGATTTGTTGTCATTTCTGTTGAAAATAAAATATAAACCATTGATTAAAAAGCATTTCTCTGTTTATGTGTAACTTCTGAAATACTGGAACTTCTCCCAGGAAGATCCTGTATCACACCTTAGTAGATGAGGGCCAGTTTGGAACATAATTATTTTTATATTTATCTCTCTTTTAGGAGACAATGGGTCTTATTTATAATACATAGAATTATATATTATATAATATTTAAGTATACTATGTATGTGTATATATAATGTCTATAACCTCTAGTTGTAATTTCTCTCTTTCTTTTATTGTTTGATTAAGCCTTTAAAAATTCTTTGTGTGTGCAGCAACATTTCATCTTTGGTTAAATAGTTCCAAAAACCCATGTAATTTAAAGAGCCTTTTTAAAATTAAGTGCTTTATTCATAAGTTTGTGATTTGTAACTAGCAGGGTTTGTAGAAATAATTCAGCCCAACCTGCTCATTTCTGAGATGAGGGAAAGGACATCCAAAGAATTTAAGTGACTTGACCAAGGTCCCACACATGCAGTCAGTAGCAAGAAACCAGATAGAAGTACAACTGTAAAATATGTGTCATTGTGATAAAGGATGCTGAAGCAGAAAATCAATACAGATTTTTCATACAGACCAGAAGCATTGAAGTTAATAAGCTTTGGATATTGTGAACCACTTGAGCCTCTTTCCATCCCAACCCCCACGCTGTTGAGTTTGCCAAGATGTAGAACATTGGACTCCGAGTGCTGGAATATTCTTTAATGTGATAATGTGTGATTTAATGCACTCTTCTCTCTTGGGAGAGTCCTCTGAGACTATTAGGCGGACTTTTCATAGCAGGATGCAAAATGCCAGTGAAGTTAATTAAAAATAATCTAAAATAGAAGCGAGGGAGAGGATCTTCAAGTTGAAATTACATAAGAAGAGCTTTGACTTAGAAGCTTAGCTGAGTCGTCAGGAGTTTATAGGAGCTAATCAGATTTCCTTTCTAGGAAGCCTGTTTATTTCAGTTTATAGAATAGACTATAGAAAGTGCCTATCTGTACGCATCTCCTTTTATCATATGGTTTTAGCTTTTTAACGATAATGTTTCTCAAAATGTACCATCTTTGGACAGCTTTTCTCCTTGGTCTTCCCTGGGGGGATGATTTTGCCCTCCAGGACATTTGGCATGTCCGGAGCATATCTGTAGAGGTCCTAATGGGGGTGTGTGGTGCTATCAGCATGCAGTTAAAGAGGCCAGGGTTACAGTTGAGCATCCTAGAGTGCATAGCTAGCTAGCACAACCCTGCAACGAAGAATGATCTGGCCCCAAATGTCATTAATGCCCAGCTAGAAAAACCCTGCCAGTCTCCCAGGCCACTGATAATTGGGCTTCCCTCTAGACTTATAGAATCAGATTCTCTGTTAATACCAAACAATCTGCCTATGAGGTGCTCCTGTATTCTGGTTGAGACTTATTAGTTATTATCTGTATAAAGGTTTATTATATTGATTGATAGGTAAGTAAAGAACAACTCTTTGGGGATAGGGAAAGATAGTGGGAAGGAAAAATTTTCCAAAAGCTATGAAACTGCTTGTTTTACAACTTCCAAAATTCAGATCATATTGCTCCATGTGAACTCTCTATTGATGCTGTCCAAGTGTTTTATCACATAACCCCAGTTTATCTTAAAAGTCTTTCTGAGAATTCAAACTCAAAAAAAGTTTCTTTTCAAACTATATGGACTACAATAAAATGTATTTTGAACACTAAGAGAAATACAAAAGTAAAAGCTAAAGAGCATGAAATTATAAATAAATAGAATTTCTTGTCCTTTCTTTCATTACTTCAGTGGATAGTGTTGTCCTGCTATCTTGAACCTCTTTATAGAGACTCAAGCTTGGAGCAGAACAAAGAGAAAAGTCCCCCAATTTTTACATGAATTTTGTTCATCTGAAAGTTGGATTTTTAGACTAGTTTATACTTTCTCA